CATACATTGCCCACCTTCCAAATCTTTCCAGTTCCATATCTCAAATCCTTCCATATCCCATTGCTTCCCGATCGAATAGCCTTCCAGATCCCAATGCTTGCATTTGCCAAATGCTTGCATTTGGCATATGCTTCCAGATCGCATATGGCATATGCTTTCAGATCCCATATGTCATATGCTTGCAGATCCCATATGTCATATGCTTGCAGATCGCATATGTCATATGCTTGCAGATCGCATATGGCATATGCTTGCAGATCGCATATGGCATATGCTTGCAGATCGCATATGCTTGCAGATCACATATGCTTGCAGATCGCATATGCTTGCAGATCGCATATGCTTGCAGATCGCATATGGCATATGCTTGCAGATCGCATATGCTTGCAGATCGCATAGTGGAATATGCTTGCAGATCGCATATGGCATATGCTTGCAGATGACATATGGCATATGCTTGCAGATGACATATGCTTGCAGATCGCATATGGCATATGCTTGCAGATCGCATATGGCATATGCTTGCAGATCGCATATGGCATATGCTTGCAGATCGCATATGGCATATGCTTGCAGATCGCATATGGCATATGCTTGCAGATCGCATATGCTTGCAGATCACATATGCTTGCAGATCGCATATGCTTGCAGATCGCATATGGCATATGCTTGCAGATCGCATATGCTTGCAGATCGCATAGTGGAATATGCTTGCAGATCGCATATGGCATATGCTTGCAGATCGCATATGGCATATGCTTGCAGATGACATATGCTTGCAGATCACATATGGCATATGCTTGCAGATGACATATGCTTGCAGAAATCATATGCTTGCATATGGCATATGCTTGCAGATCGCATATGCTTGCAGGTCGCATATGTTTGCAGATCGCATATGCTTGCAGATCGCATATGTTTGCAGATCGCATATGGCATATGCTTGCAGATCGCATATGCTTGCAGATCACATATGCTTGCAGATCGCATATGCTTGCAGATCGCATATGCTTGCAGATGGCATATGGCATATGCTTGCAGATCGCATATCCTTGCATATTGCATATGCTTGCAGATTGCATATATGGCGCAGATCGCATATGCTTGCAGACTGCATCTGTTTGCAGACTGCATCTGCTTGCAGATTGCATATTTGCAGATCGCATATGCTTGCATATCGCATATGCTTGCAGATCGCATATGCTTGCAGATCGCAAATGCTTGCATTTGGCAGATGCTTGCATTTGGCATATGCTTGCAGATCGCATATGGCATATGCTTGCAGATCGCATATGTCATATGCTTGCAGATCGCATATGTCATATGCTTGCAGATCGCATATGTCATATGCTTGCAGATCGCATATGTCATATGCTTGCAGATCGCATATGGCATATGCTTGCAGATCGCATATGGCATATGCTTGCAGATCGCATATGGCATATGCTTGCAGATCGCATATGCTTGCAGATCACATATGCTTGCAGATCGCATATGCTTGCAGATCGCATATGCTTGCAGATCGCATATGGCATATGCTTGCAGATCGCATATGCTTGCAGATCGCATAGTGGAATATGCTTGCAGATCGCATATGGCATATGCTTGCAGATGACATATGGCATATGCTTGCAGATGACATATGCTTGCAGATCGCATATGGCATATGCTTGCAGATCGCATATGGCATATGCTTGCAGATCGCATATGGCATATGCTTGCAGATCGCATATGGCATATGCTTGCAGATCGCATATGCTTGCTTCAGATCACATATGCTTGCAGATCGCATATGCTTGCAGATCGCATATGCTTGCAGATCGCATATGGCATATGCTTGCAGATCGCATATGCTTGCAGATCGCATAGTGGAATATGCTTGCAGATCGCATATGGCATATGCTTGCAGATCGCATATGGCATATGCTTGCAGATGACATATGCTTGCAGATCACATATGGCATATGCTTGCAGATGACATATGCTTGCAGAAATCATATGCTTGCATATGGCATATGCTTGCAGGTCGCATATGCTTGCAGGTCGCATATGTTTGCAGATCGCATATGCTTGCAGATCGCATATGTTTGCAGATCGCATATGGCATATGCTTGCAGATCGCATATGCTTGCAGATCACATATGCTTGCAGATCGCATATGCTTGCAGATCGCATATGCTTGCAGATGGCATATGGCATATGCTTGCAGATCGCATATCCTTGCATATTGCATATGCTTGCAGATTGCATATATGGCGCAGATCGCATATGCTTGCAGACTGCATCTGTTTGCAGACTGCATCTGCTTGCAGATTGCATATTTGCAGATCGCATATGCTTGCATATTGCATATGCTTGCAGATCGCATATGCTTGCAGATTGCATATGCTTGCAGATCGCATATGCTTGCAGATTGCATATATGGTGCAGATCGCATATGCTTGCAGACTGCATCTCTTTGCAGATCGCATATGCTTGCAAATGGCATATGCTTGTTGATCACATATGCTTGCAGACTGCATATGCTTGCAGACTGCATATGCTTGCAGACTGCATATGCTTGCAGATCGCATATGCTTGCCGACGGCATATGCTTGCAGATCAGGTATGCTTGCAGATCGCATATGGCATGTGCTTGCAGATCGCATATGCTTGCAGATCACATATGCTTGCAGAATCGCATATGCTTGCAGACAGCATATGCTTGCAGATCGCATATACTTGCAGACAGCATATGCTTGCAGATCGCATATGCTTGCAGATCGCATATGCTTGCAGATCGCATATGCTTGCAGACAGCATATGCTTGCAGATCGCATATGCTTGCAGATCGCATATGCTTGCAGATCGCATATGGCATATGCTTGCAGATCGCATATGGCATATGCTTGCAGATCGCATATGGCATATGCTTGCAGGTCGCATATGCTTGCAGATCACATATGCTTATAGATCACAGCACAGCATAGCATAGCATAGCATAGCATAGCATAGCATAGCATTGCGCAGCATAGCATAGCATTGCGCAGCATAGCATATGCTTGCAGATCGCATATCGCATATGCTTGCATATCGCATATGCTTGCCGATCGCATATGCTTGCAGATCGCAAATGCTTGCATTTGGCAGATGCTTGCATTTGGCATAAGCTTGCAGATCGCATATGGCATATGCTTGCAGATCGCATAAAACATATGCTTGCAGATCGCATATGTCATATGCTTGCAGATCGCATAG